AGGCTGTATATAATGTTTATAATTTGCTATTTTCCCTTAAATGAAGTCTTACACATCTTTCTGTGTCAGTTCAGACAGGCTCATTCACTGCCCACCATGAGCAAGCAGGTGCTATGCTAATACTGAGGATATAGTATGACCCACACCGACAGTGCTGGCCATTGAGTCAAGGGGGAAACAGAGCTTAACAAGTAGACAGGAAAACGGTCAGCTATTCATTTGGATTCACTCTTACGAGCCAAGGGCGGGGACAAACAAAATAAAAACGGTGTCCGCCATGGGGAGGCAACCGTCTAACCAAAATAGACATCTAGCCGTGAATCACATACCTACAAGCATAACACTGATTGACATATGACTAATTAATGAAACACGTGGGATGCTGTGAGCGACATTAACAAGGTGACTTAACATAGAATGGAGGTGATGCGGGTCAAAGGTCAACTTTATTCTTTTTATGGGCTGTGGAGTATTCCGTCGTGTAGATTCCCTGTAACCTATCTAATCTGTCCAGTATTGGTGAACAGTGACAGTCCACTGTAAATCGCCCCGCCATGCACATCTCTGTGTGGGTGAGGGGACAGTCACCAAGAGCTGAAGCGTCCAGTGACTGATTTTTTTTTTTGTTCCCTTTTGTCGTTTTCAAGGAGCAGGAAGACATTTACTTCATGAAGGGGGCCTTTGAAGAAGTGATTCGTTACTGTACCATGTACAACAATGGGGGCATCCCCCTGCCACTGACACCCCAACAGCGATCCTTCTGCCAACAGGAGGAAAAGAAGATGGGGTCGCTCGGCCTGCGGGGTCAGTGCCTGTGGCCCCAGCCCTTAGCTTTACATTTGCACGCTAACACTGACTTTTCAAGCGCATTAATGCAGGGTCCTCAGTCCGTAAGGCGAGAATGGTCAGGATGGCAGTCAGGCAGCGTGCTGATGGAAGTAAAGCAAGTGAGAAATTTATTGATGAGATGAAAGATAGGACCCCCCTCCCCCACTCCATCCCAGCCACCAAATGACACCCATGCACCCAGATGCAGCTCGTGAGGTGGAACCCTGCCTCCTGAGTTTTCTAAGACAGGTGAATGGGACGCACCAGGAATATCGATTTTTCCTGATTGGTCTACTTGCTCATCACTTACCTGTGAGGAAAACCCAGAGCGCCTTTAAATCAAGGCAGACATTTCATTCCGTGGCCATTTCCAATTTTCTGCACCGGGGCCGGTGCCTTCCCTGATGGGCTGCACATTCAAAACCACATTTCCCATGTCATTTGTCAGCCTGTCCGTTTTCGGAGAAAGTGTTTAAAAATCCTCTGGGACACTTGTATTCCCCCAGGGGGGAATGAGAAGCATTGGGCTTGCCATATTGGTTTCAATTGCCTTGGTTTCATGGGACAGAAATTCTACATAGCCAGCAGCTGGCTGACAAGTGTACAAGGTGAGGACATTGCAGCTTGCCAGGAGAGAGCTGAGTTTAGCAGGGTGGGGAGGGTAGCTTTGGGAATAGCTCCTGTATCACGGGCACGTGGCACCCATGCTGTTGGCACAGTGAGCAGGAAGGAGGCATAGCTGGAGGCTTCTGGGCCTCAGCACCCCTCCAGCATCAGTAAGGTGACAAAGTAAG